GGGGTCCTATACTTCCCTGCACATTCCTTTTACTCCTTACATACCTAAAAAAAGACTTTTTGTTTAATTTGTGTTGCCGGCCTCAGCTCTGTAGTTGCTTTGGCTTTTCTAACTGCCTCCTGGCAAGTGCAGGTCAAGTAGGTATACTCCTCCTTGGTAGCTTCCCCCTGCTTCCACTGCCTATAAGCCTTCTTTTTTGCCCTTAGGATCCCCTGGATTTCCCTGTCTAGCCAAGGAAGTTTTTTGGCTCCTTTCCCTTTCCCCTCATACTGGGATAGTCTCCCTCTGTGCCCAAAGGATTGCTTCCTTTAGAAACGACCACCCTTCCTGGACTCCCATCTTGCTAGTACTCTTATCCTGCAGCGTGTCATTGACTAGACTCCTAAGCACGCTGAAGTTAGTCTTCCTAAAGTCAAGTACTTCCACCCTACTAGTTATTGTACCCACTCTACACCATATGGTGAATTGATTGATTGGTGGTCGCTGTCCCCAAGGTGACCACGAATCTGCAGCTCCCCTACCAGGTCCTCCACCGTAGCCAACACCAAGTCCAGGAAGGCTTTTGTTACTGTCTCTCACCCCATTCTCATTAGGAAGCTGGGGGACTGTGGCGTAGACACCCATACAGTCCAATGGGTCGCCAACTGGTTAGAGAGTAGCACCCAGAGGGTGGTAGTGGATGGGTCCTTCTCGACCTGGAAGGACTTAGGAAGTGGGGTCCCACAGGGCTCGGTCCTTGGGCCCGCCCTGTTCAACATCTTCATCAGTGATTTGGATGAGGGGGTGCAAAGCACCCTGTTCAAGTTTGCTGATGACACTAAGATGTGGGGGGATGTGGGCACAATAGAGGGGAGCAACAGGCTACAGTTGGACCTAGATAGGTTACAAGGATGGGCGGAGGAGAACAGGATGGGGTTTAACACAGACAAGTGTAAGGTGATGCACCTGGGGAGGAACAATCGGCACCATACATACAGGCTGGGGAACTCCCCTCTTGTCAGCACGGAGGTGGAAAAGGATCTGGGAGTCATTATTGACTCCAGGATGAACATGAGTCGGCAATGTGGGGAGGCGGCTAGGAAGGCCAACTGCACCTTGTTGTGCATCCACAGATGCATCTCGAGCAGGTCCAAGGAGGTGATCCTCCCCCTCTATGCGGCACTGGTCAGGCCGCAGCTGGAGTACTGCGTCCAGTTCTGGGCGCCGCACTTTAAGAGGGATGTGGACAGCATCGAGAGGGTCCAGAGGAGGGCCACTCGTATGATCAAGGGACAGCAGGGTAGGTCCTATGAGGAAAGGTTGCGGGACCTGAACCTGTTCAGCCTTCAAAAGAGAAGGCTGAGGGGGGATCTTGTGGCCTGTTATAAACTGGTTAGGGGGGATCAGCAGGCGCTGGGGGAGTCCCTGTTCCCCCGAGTGCCGCAAGGAGTGACCAGGAACAACGGTCACAAGCTGGCGGAGGGAAGGTTTAAGTTGGACATCAGGAGGCGCTACTTCACGGTCAGGGCAGCTAGGGTCTGGAACCAGCTTCCAAGTGAAGTGGTGCAGGCTCCCATCCTGGGGGTTTTTAAGAGGAGGTTGGATGACCACCTTACTGGGGTCGTTTGACCCCAGTGCTCTTTCCTGCCATGGCAGGGGGTCAGACTAGATGATCTGCTCAGGTCCCTTCCGACCCTATGAAACTATGAAACTATAAGGCATTCCCCCTAGTGGGACTGTATACCTCCTGTGTTAGGTGAAGGTCCTACATGCAGGGTAAGAACCTACATGAACAGTTGGATTTGGCTGACTGCTCCTCCCAGCAGATGTCAGGGTAGTTTAGGTCACCCATGAGAACCACGTCCCTAGACTGTACATCCTCTGAGAGCTGCCTCAAGAATTCCAAGTCTAGCTTTTAATCTTGGTCTGGTGGTCTGTAGCAAACCCCCACCACCAAGTCCATTTCCCCTCAACCTCCATGTATCCTAACCCACAATACCTCAACTTTCTCCTCCTCTGATCCCATTTTGCCTTCATTTAGCCTTCATTATACACCTGTATTAGCTCATATAGTCTCTGATTTTATCACAGTCCCCTTGAAATGTAGTTGATAAAGAAAACATGGAAGAAGGTCAAAAATATAGGATGAACAGCTGGAATAATTTCTCTGAAAACTTTGCTACAAATCTTACTAATTCTGCTTAGGGATGTAAGGGATTTATTGAATTAACTAGATGGAGATAAAATTCAGTGGTATTTTAAAGTAACATTTGTAGGTGTGTGCACTTTGAAAGCTCTGTGGAGACTTAACAGCTATGTTTGCTTGTATTTAAGGGGCACGGAGAGGAAGAGAATAATGGTTGGTAACATTTATCCAACTCCAGCACATTTTTATTATAAACAACATGCAGGCTTTCTCCTGTTCCAATGCAACCCTTAACACCTAGAATAATGCAACAGGCTGTTTCTTTTTGTAGCGGTGTCTCTGTGAAGATTATAATTAACTTATTCTGTAGATTTTGCAGGAAGCCTGAGAGGATCCTAGAAAATTCCAGTCAATAAAGCAAAGCAAAAAAGGAAAAGAAAAGGCATGTAGGTAAAGTGTTGTAGATTAATTTTTACTTCTAAATAGGTATAAACGTAGTTAAAGATAACAGTATTTTTAACCAACACATCCTTTTCAGCTTCTTTATATCTTTACATAACACAATTATATAGGTCAACATTTTCAAAACTCAAGACTGACTTGCTTCTGCATACAAAGTAAATATATATATGCAACCATAAGTACACACAGTTAACATCCCTAGAAAAATAAGCATTGAGCAACATTCAGGTAGCAATTTATCACAGCTGCATCCTAGTATTGTGGAATCTCAGATATTTCGAGATAACTATTAACCTACTGGTGAGATACACCACACCTGAGTGCATACCTTTCTTTATGCTTTCAAGCCTGTGAGATAGGTATTTGGATATTTCTTCCTGGGGATGATCTTCTTTTCTATTCTCTAAGTAACCTTCCTGGCATTCTGCTTCATTTGTACTAAGGCCTATTAACACCACTCTGACAGTCTAAAAGGGTTTTAACATAGATGTTAATTACATTTGCTCTTCAAGGTGCCTTTATACTACTTGTGTGGATTAAGTGGGTCTTGTTATAAATCTTTTAATGAGAGAAATAAGATAACAAAAACAAAACTAACAAATAGACAACCACTAAGCATTTAATATATAACCAGAAGCCAATCAACCAAATAACAACAAAAGAAAGTGGCAGTAGCAAACAGCAAAAGCTGTATCATCTAAATTCCCTCATCCATGCCAGGGCAGTGATGAACATCACAGTAAGCTGTTTATAATAAATTGCCACCTCCTAGTTCAGTTTATGAATATATTACCCTTTATCACATTTCTCATAAGAATAATGCTTTGAATTAATGCCTAGTAGATTTCCAGGCTTTTCTATGACACTTTCTTTATTAGTCATTAAGGCCATTCCAATATTGGCAAAATGACAGTGGGTGTTTACAAAACCCAATTGTACTCATTAAATTCTGTAAAGAATTTCTAGTATTTTTTCTCTGCATTTTAGAAAGACTCTCTGTAATTTATATTTCTACAGTGAATAATTTTGTTATCATTTCATGTTGTGAAGCACATTTTTCCTGGTTGCTAATTCTTAATAGCTTATTAGAATACCCTGTGCGGAAGAGAAGAAAAGCTTTTTCTGAATATGGCTATGAAGAGGAAATGTGTAGAACTACTGATGATAAAAAAAAAAGTACAAGGCCTTGATGACAGAACACAATAGTTCAAAGAAGAAAAACATCTAACAGTATCCAGTCTATTCTTCTTCCATTATGGGAGTGCTCCCTACAGCATATTTTCCAGTATTTGGCCCAGGCAGCTTGAAAATTATATGAATTGTATGAATAACGTTGTATGAATAATGATTATCTTGGTTACATGTGGAGGAGAATGTTTGAGACTGAGAAACTATAATTTTGATCTTTGTGGAAACTTCACCCCATAAAACAAATCACTACTCCATATAGGCTCATTTGTGAACTATTTTGTCTCCTGCAAGAAAGCAAGGTGTTACAAGCCCCCTGCTCTGCTGTGACTATCCCCATTGATAGCATTCTTTGTTGGGGGAAACAGGCTGCCTTTTCAGTGTAGGCTAGTCCTGTTTCTGTACAGGTTGAAGGGGAGTGCATTACCATGAATTTAAATTCCCTCATAGGTCCAACAGAGCTTGAACAAAGGAGATGGGGGGGATAAATTGTGCCAGGGATAGGGTTAGTGCAAGCTATATCACTCCTGGAACAGGAAAAATGTAGGGATTGAAAAATGACTCTGTGTCGCCATTACAACAAGATCACAAAATTCTTAGATGCAGGAGTTGAGGTAGATGTCATCTACTTGGATTTTAAAAAGGCCTTTGATACACTGTTGCATCCCATTCTTATAAATAAATTAAGTGGTTCTGACATAAAATATTACACAGTCAGGTGGGTGGAGAATTGGCTTATGGGATGCACCCAGAGGGTGGTAGTGGACAGGTCATTTTCAACCTGGAAAAGTGTGGGCAGTGGAGTTCATCAAGGTTCAGTCCTTGGACCAGTGCTGTTTAATATCTTCATCAGTGACTTGGATGAGGGGGTGGAAAGTACTCTGTCCAAATTCGCATACAACACCAAATTATAGGGCAAAGTAAACACACTGGAGGGCAGGGAGTGGATTCAGGTGGATTTGGACAGGTTGGGAATGTGGGCAGAACAGAATAGGATGCAGTTTAACAAAGATAAGTTCAAAATGCTGCATCCAGGGAGAAAGAATCGCCAACACACCTACAGAGGTTACTTTCTAAGTCACAGCAGCAGAAAGGGATCTTGGAGTGATAGTCGACTCCAAAATGAACAACAGTTGTCAATGTGAACAAGTGATAAGTAAAGCCAACCACACTCTTTCATGCATTAGAAGGTGCAACACAAGCAGGTATAAGGAGATGATACTTCCCTTTTATGCAGCATTGGTAAGACTGCAGCTGGAGTACTGTGTCCAGTTCTGGCCACTGCACTTCAAGGGGGTTGTAGATAACCTTGAGAGGGTTCAGAGGAGGCCTACTCATATGGTTAGGGGCCTGCTGGTAAGATCCTATGAGGAGAGACTGAGGGATCTGAATCTCTTCAGCCTCTGCAAAAGAAGGCTGAGAGGAGATCTTGTGGCCATCTACAAATTCATTGGGGGGAAAGGGGGGAAGGCAGCAAGTAATAGGGGATATCCTGTTTACCTAGTAACCCTTGGGGTTACTAGGAACAATGGCCATAAACTGATGGAGAGCAGATTTAGATTAGACATTAGGAAAAAATTATTTATGTCAAGGGTTGCCAAAATCTGGAATCAGCTTCCAAGGGAGGTGGTGCTCTCCCCTACCTTGGAGGTCTTTAAGAGGAGACTAAACAAGCACCTAGCTGGGGTCATCTGACCCCAGCACTCTTTCCTGCCCAGGGCAGGGGGTCGGACTTGAGGATCTACTGAGGTCCCTTCCAACCCTAAAAATCTATGAAATCTATTAGATTCCTGATGTGCTCCTGGGGCAAAATAATCATGGCTTCTCTCTTTCTCAGCATTTGGAGTTACTACACAATCTAGCCCTTTGGTATTTTTATTTAAATTTCATAAATGGAGCACAAAATGACTAATTATTTCAAAATTGAAAGCACCCTTAGGATAAGGGTGAAGGAACTTTTTTTCTCCTATTTGCCAGGCTCCTATATGCTAGTGGAAAAGTCCTAGGTTGGAGATCCCATATGTAATGAGCGGGAAGCAAGTTCATTGTTATTCAGCCTGCAGGCATGGATCTGGAATATAAGTGGAATACAGTAGCATAACTGGGGGGAAGAGAGTGGAGAGAGTGATCTGAAGGGGGTGGCAGTATGGCCCCTTCCCCCCTGGATTCTTTGCTGTGACAGGTGCACATCAGCACTGCCCAGCCATAGCCACTGGGCAGGCCCAGACACTGTACTCAGCGGTGTATCTGGGGGGCAGGCAGTGGAATGTTCCCCACTTGGGGGAGGCTTTGCCACAGCAGGCACAGTCCTATGCTAAGGGGATGGAGAAAAACAGGGCACCGGGAGGGACCTTCAGAGATCCTTTGCCACTGCCTCTTTCTCAGCTGCAGCAGCCCAAGTCCGCACTAACATGGCAGCAGCTGAGCAATAGCAGACTTCGCCCAGGAGAGCCCAGTCAAGTAAGACTTCACTCTTCTCCCTTCCCCTCTGCCACCCTCTTCAATGGTCAGCATAATTCTCTCTCTGTTGGCCTTCTCCCATGCACCAGGTGCTAAAAGAGATTGCTAGACTCTGGTGGAAATTTTGGGTTTTAGTGAAGAACCCATTTGTAGGTCCTGTAGTGGAAAGTCTTACAAGAGAAAGAGGGGCCTGCACTAGGCACCTATAATTTTGCTTCTGTCAAGGCAACTGTAGGAAGCCAGCACAACTTAAGGGTGAAATGACCATGGATTGCCATGATCATTAAAGTGCCCTGATCTAAAGTTGTTCCAGTTCACAACATTTCTAGAGATGCTCAAGGGAAATTAAAGATGGTGTATTCAAATGGAATCACTGTTCTCCTGGTACTGGTTTTTATTTAATCATTTCTTAAGCCAAATAGGTAGAGCCAGATGCTATTTCACTTATTAGGGTGTGCACATGGACTTAGGTGCCTAAGTACAATTCTAATCCACTTCACTTGAATCCTTGGAAAACAGCTAATTGCGAAGATAGCTGAGTCCTTACCTTCCTCTCTGTTTTTTTTGGCTCAGTCTTAAGAATCATATAATGGCATATCATTGAGTGCTACAAAAGTTATTGTAATATGGATTTTCAGACTTTAACACGTTTGAATTCAATTGTATTTAGGTGCATAAGTCCACTTAGATGTTCAGTAGATGGCTAGAATATGGTCCTTAGACATCTAGAAATAGTTTAAAATAAGTCTTGTGAATCAAACTTATTTTTCTTTAAAAAATACATAAGGGATAAATACTTCTTATATGTTTGATGGAATAAAGAATGGCCCAGGTACAAAATTATTGTAGTATATAGTACTTGTAAATTTCATTTAAAGACTAGTAGCACTAACTACCATAGTATTTTTGCTAAAAAGAAAAAGGAAAAGAAAACTTTCTTAAAGTAAAAGTTGTAACTGGTAAAACTGTGGGAGATAATATTCTTTCTGAAAATTAAATTAATAACCAGACAGGTTTAATGTACAATTCAGAATTAATGTCTGGCAGCATTTAACTATGCTAATCAGGTGTCTATGAATAGTGATAATTTAAATTTCACAACTCTCTGGGCAACAAACTTTAAATAACTTTGATCATGCTGTCCTGTAGGATTACCTTGATGCTCCTTTGCAGCAGTTTTATCACTTGTAGGTAGATGTTGTCTTATCAGCAGATGCATTACTATCCCTGCATCCTCTTTAATCTTATATTATTCCAACATAATTATGACTATACTATGTATTAACTATATTAACAACAGGAATAATTCTTCCAAATTAACTAATAAGAAGCTAATAAGAAAAAATCACTTGTTGATCTCTAAGTAATACAAACTACCATTAAACAAGACTAAATCCTGTCTCACATGCCCATTAAGGGCTGTAAGCATGTGCAAGGACTCCTTAATCTCTTGTATGGATTACTTTGCAGCAAGGCTGCTATCATGAAAAGGATAGCAGCCTCCATGAGTTGCTACTCCTCATAGCCCAAGAATGTGTGCAGATTTACTCATTTTTATAAAGCTCTAGCCAGTGCATCTGGGCCAGTGTGTCGAAGGAAGCAATCTGCCATTTGGAGACCTCCATTAAAACTTACCTGTATCATTGCTTCAAAACAAGAGGTAAAAGAGATTGTGATACACTTAATCTTTCTAATTCTAAGTTCAGACACACAGTGTCAGTGTACTTTCATGTAGCAGACCCCAAATCAAACTCTGGCCTTTTGAGATGAGAAAGGAAGTGGAACAGGGTGGTGTAAGTCATGTGACCTAGACTGCTAATCATTTTAGTTGTTCTCCACTGGACCGTTCCCAGTTTGTTTACATCTTTCTTGAGCTGTGGCATCCAAAACTGGACATGATACTTTAGATGAAATCTTCCTAGGTCTTGACTTATAAGTACTGCTCCTCCTAATACAAGTTGGTATGCAGTTGGCTTGTTTGGCAGCAGTAGCACCCTATTGACTCATATTTAACTTTAGCCAGGAGGCCAGTCATTCCCCAATTTGTACTGGTGCATTCAGTTGTTCCAACCTAAATTCTATCTTATAGTTCAGGGACCAGCAACTTTTATGAGCTGCAGGATGGAACAACCCACCCCTTGTTTGATACAGGCCAGTTGGCTTTGGCAATTGGTCAGCAGTGAGGTGCAGGGAGGGGGTGCCTGCACCTATGCCAGTCTTAGGGCCAAATTAATTAATAAGTTAATAACTGCTTGTCTCAGTGTCCCCCCTCCCAGCCCTCCCTTGGTCCCTGGTTGGAGCATGAGCACAGATTCCAGTCAGGTGGGAACTGAGCCAGAACAGGGCAGCTGGGATCTGTGTCCATGCCACCATCACTTCTACCCACCCCCAAGCCACAGTGTGGGCACATCTGGAAGCTGCCCAGCCCTGGCTCAGTTCCCCAGTGGTGAAGCTGGGTGGGGGAGCAGGGAAAAGTAGCAGTGATGCTATCATAGCTTTCATCTGCCTAGCCCTAACACACAGCTCCTCACTGCCCAGCCCTAGCATGGGCAGAGGCAAAGACATCTGGTTCCATGGACCAGATCGAGGGGCCCCATATGTTGCCAATCCCTACTATAGTTAAGGCTTTTCAATTATAGCCCAATCTATATGAATCATATTGCTTCTCATCTCTGTGACCAATAACTTTTCTTCTATATACTTGGAAGGTGGAAGACTACAACTGGATTGTTCTCTAGATAATTACCTTACTTCATCTTCCACTGCTTTTAACGAATTCTAGAAAGGATATGAAAGGACCAAATTCAAGTCACTTTAATTTATCCAGTTGCCCTCTGAAACACAATTGCCCATCTGCTTTCAGATATGCTTAGCAATGCAAATGTTGGACTTGACCATGAGAGGAGTTGAGTATGTGCCATTTACAATGAGTTCACTTAGAATGATAGACAGTCATTTCTGTTCAGGATGAAGCCAAAGTTGGAGAAAATGTTATCCCTAAAAAAAAGCTACGAATTGCAGGCTGAGATTGCAAATGTCATGGAAACTGAGCTCTTCTTGCATCATTTTCAATCTTACGTTGCTGTTTTCTGTAACTTTATGTAAGTAATATAATAGGTTACAACAAATACATTCTGCTACAAATGTAACTCAAAGAACTTGATGCTATTTTAGTCTGGGTTTATGTTTGGAAGATGCCAAGTTTTGGTGTTTTTGTGATGCAGATACCTGAAATAAGACTACATCTCATTACATATAGGTCTCCTGAAAAGCCATCAGTTGATAATGACTTTCTGTCATACCTATCTAGACTGAATTCAAATCAGCAAGCTATAAATTTATAACTCATGATTGAGCAATCCATTTTTCTCTGAGAATCACATTTTCACCTGCTCTTTTAAAGCCCCATCCACAGCTCGTTGAAACAATGGCATGACCTCAAGTGTATTCACTGGGCTTTGGATTGCTTCTTTACAATGGACAAGGATCTTGATTGGATTGTAGTTCAAACCTCTAAAAGGTCATGAGTGGTCAAAAAGATGTGCACTGACAAAGGTGCCCAAGTCTTCCAATCGCAAGATAATATGATGTGTATTAAAATATGTAACTTAATAGCAATCTGACCTACAGTCCCTGATGTCAGGTCAATTAAATTCTATTATTATTCACTATTATTTTGGCAGTACCTGCAGTTTCTGGATGAGTCAGATATTCCAGTTCTCTCTCATCCCTCCTATTCACAAATGTTAAATGTGTTCTTTCTCATGCAAGTACTTTCCATCTGATCTGTTAGTAAGCAAAATTCCTGCATTTTGTTAAGATTGAACCTCAGCTAATTTTTGTTTGCCATGGTTAGGTAATTAATTTTTGACAGTGTTTAGACTAATGATTTGTAACTCCAATAGGTAGTAGTCTTTTAGTTTTTCTCTCAATAACGTTCATCGTTTTATTGACTTTTGTAAACAAAGGAACGACTGTAGATCACATCTAACTTCCAAATCACGATTTTCAGCATGTTCCTTAAATTGTTCTATTTCCCCCCTTTTTAACTGCCTTGTAAGCATCCAGAGATTCTGAGTGCATCTATTTGATAAATGCAGAGCTTTTAAGCTCACACTCAGCTGTTTGTTTATTATGTTTTCAAACTTCTCCAGCTTCTGTTTAGTATTCAGTGAAATGGTGTAAAGAAAACCATCTGTACTGCAGCTGCAAAGGGATTACCTTTACTTTTGGTTTCCAGTAAGAAATCAAATGTACCCTGTACATATCTCTAGGCATTTGCTCTGTTTTATCAGTGTGTTTATGACATGGTTTTGGATTTAAGGAGTTTAAAAAAAATAGAGAATATAAAATTAACATTTAACCCAAATGAAACAGTTTGAGTGGAAGTGTTGTACTTTATATGATCCACAAAGTCTTTGTTCTCTGTCCCTTTGTTTGCATCCTAGTAAAAGACTGAAAAGTTTCCTATGCATCATTAAAGTATTGAAGAATGCTCATCAGCACCAGACTATTTAAATACACCTCAATTTATATAACTACATGTTCGGTTGCTACATTCTTGAAGAAGTGGAGATAAGATTTAACAGATAGGTCTGGAGCTTTAGGGGAAAGTAGTGGGTTTTGGTTCTCTAAATTTGGTCCAGAGCATGAAAATCTCCATACTAGTAGTCGCATTGGGTTTGCAGTAATAGGGAGCTAATTAAGAATGTTTCATTCAAAGAAGCACTCATGCCATCAGAGTAAAAAACTGAAGGAAGAAATTGTACCTACTTTATTAAATTATTTATGTAAAAGGGAGCTGCTAGATACTATATAAATTATGATAAACTGTTTCCTATAAATTTGAATGTACCATTTGTGTTCAGAAGTGACATGAAAATCATTCTAGTTTTATGGCAAATTATTTTGTAAGTTGGTTCCAGTAAAAGACAAACAGAAAGCTCTGTGAATGTAATCCCAGTGAAACAAGCCAGAAGGACGTAAACCAGAAACAGACTTGCATATTGACTTTAAAGTTTAAGCACTGAATTTGTCCATAATGATTCTGAAGAAAATGAGCTATTTTAAAATGATTTTTAGAAGTGAATTAAAACAGATTTACAGAGACATTCCAATGTGTTGAAACTGATGCTTTCAGACTCCTCCTGTCTTGAATCAAATTATATATAAAACCTTTCTTGTCCATCCCTTGTTCTACAAAAAACATTGATTTGGAAACACACAGTTAAATATAATTAGTAGAATGAAAGTTTTTTACAAGTTTCTGTCCCTAGCACAGAATGCCTGTCTTTGAGAAGCTATAGCCTAGGGCAGTGATTTTCAACCAGGGTGTGCCAGATCCTTTGAAGGGTTCCACAAGGTATTAGGGGATATGTGAGGCATGAGGAGATAAGCAGATGAGCCCTGCTCAGGCTTATTCCTTCCTGGACATTTTTCCACCCTTACAGCCCAGCCCACGTGTAAGGAAGGTAAGCACTGTAATAAATAAATTAATTTTTGAAATTGGGTGCCACTCATTTCAGAAAACTTATGGAGGGGTGCCTCAAGT